CAGAACACTTAGATATGGTGTGGTTTGTATCCAACATCAGTTAGTCAAACATTTGTCTGTTGTTGTTATATTGAGTCGGTTCTGACTCATACCAACCCTAGTACAACAGAATGAAACACTATTGGTCCTGCGCTATCCTCACAATCATTGTCATGCTTGAGCCCATGGTCACAGTCACTGCATTAATCCATCTCCTGGAGGGTCTTCCCCCTCTATTTTACTAATAAGCATGATATCTTTCTGCAGGGAATGGTTCCTTTTCTGAAAACATGACCAAAGTAGGTGAGACGAAGTCCAGCCATTCTTGCTTCCAAGGAGCATTATGGCTTTACTTCTTCCAGGACAGATTTGTTAGCTCTTCTGGCGGTCCATGGTATTTCCAGTATTCTTCCCCAGCACCACAATTCAAATGCATCAATTCTTCTGTGGTCTTCCTTATTGATTATCCAGTTCAGGCTGTTGAAAAGACTATGCTCAGGTGCACCTTAGTCGTCAAAGTGACATCTTTGCTCTTTAACACTTTAAAGAGGTCTTTTACAACAGATTTCCCCAATGCAGTATTTGATTCGTGACAGTTGCTTCCATGGGTATTGATTGTAAAACAAAGTGCTTGACAATTTCAGTCTTTTCTCGATTTATCATAATGTTGCTTATTGGTCCAGTTGTACAGATTTTTTTTTTTTTTCCTTATTTGAGGTGTAATCCATACTGAAGGCTGTAGTCCTTTATCTTCATCAGTAAGTGCTTCAAGTCTTCACTTTCGGCAAGCAAGGTTGTGTCATCTGCATATTACAGATGACAGGATACAACCCTGACACAGACCTTTCCTGATTTTAAACCATGAGTATCCCCTTATTTTAATAACTGTCTCTTGGTCTGTGTATGGGTTCCATATGAGCACAATGAAGTTTTCTGGAATTCTCATTCTTTGCAATGATATTCATAATTTGTTATGATCCACACAGCTGTATGCCTTTGAATAGTCAATAACACACAGGTAAGTGTATTTCAACTAAGATATATCTGACATCATCAATGATATCCTTGTTCCACATCCTCTTCTGAATCCAGCTTAAATTTCTGGCAGTTCCTAATCAATAAACTGCTGCAACCATTTTTTAATTATCTTCAGCAGAATTTTACTTGCATGTGATATTAGTGATATGATTTGATAATTTTCACATTTTGTTGTATCACCTTTCTTTGGAATGGACACAAATATGGATCTCTTTCAGTTGATTGGCCAGGTAGCTGTCTTGGATGAATAAGTGCCTCCAGCATGGCATCCATTTGTTTAAACATCTCAATGGGTATTCCATCAATTCTTGGAGCCTTGTTTTTCACTGATTCCTTTAGTGCACCTTGGACTTCTTCATTTTATACAATTGGTTCTAGATCATATGCTACCTCCTGAAATGGATGGACATGACCTATTCTTTTTGGTAAAGTGACTCTGTATTCCTTTCATCCTTTCATCTTCTTTTGATATTTCCTGCATCACTCAATATTTTGCCCATAGAATCTTTCAGTATTGCAACTCGGGGCTTGATTTTTTTTCTTCAATTCTTTGAGCCTGAGAAATGCCTAGCATGTTCCTCACTTTTGGTTTTCTAACTCCTGGTCTGTGCACATTTCATTATAATAATTGACTTTGTCTTCTCAAGCTGCTGTTTGAAATCTTCTGGTCAACTGTTTTATCTTGTCATTTCTTCCTTTTGCTTTAGCTACTCACCATTCAAGAACAAGTTTCAGAGTCTCTTGTGACATCCATTTTGGTCTTTCTTCCATTCCTATCTTTTTAATGACCTTTTGCTTTCTTCATGATGTCATCCCACAGTTCATCTGTTTTTTGGTCATTGGTGTTCAATGCATCAAATCTATTATTTAAATGGTCTCTAAATTCAGGTGGGATATAATCAGGGTCATGTTTGGGCTCTCATGGGTTTGTTTTGTCTTCAGCTTCAACTTGAACTTGCATATGAGCAGTTGGTGGTCTTTTCCACAGTCAGCTCCTGGCCTTGTTTTGGCTGAAGATACTGAGCTTCTCCATTGCCTCTTTCCACAGATGTAGTGATTCCTATGTATTCCATCTCACAAAGTCCACGTGTATATCTGCCATTTATGTTCTTGAAAGAAGTCATTTGCAATGAATAAGTTGTTGGGAGACTACAAAGGATTGACAAAAGGAAATTTTGGGGAGTGATACATATGTTCGTTATCTTGATTGAGTTAGTTTCACAGGTTTTTACATATGTCAAAATTTATTACATTATATACTTTATACATTGTTAGGTGCTGTCAAGTCAGCTTTTGACACATAGTAATCCCATATGACAGTAGAACTGCCCTCTATGATTTTCTTGCTTGTCATCTTTACAGAAGCAGATCACCAAATCTTTGTCCTACAGAGCTACTGGGTGGGTTTAAACTGTCAACTTTATGGTTAACAGCCAAATGTGCCACTAGGGCTTCTTACACTCTAAATGCATGCAGTTTGTTTTATGGTAGTTGTATTTCAATAAAGTTCTTTTATTTATTTTCAATCTAATATAACATCTGAATCATCTGGATCTTGGGGCTGGACACTACCTTGAATGGTATTTGTTGGGATGTTTGGCTGAATCTCTGGTGCTTCTCAGGAATCAGTCAGCTCATTGATGCTCTTCCAGGGATGAGTGACACTTGATGGGAAACTGGAAGTTGTCTTTTTATTATTGTTATTATTATTTATTTTACTAGTTGTAGTAATGATGTTTGCACTGATTGCAGCAACAGCTTTGAACAGGGATTCTTCTTGGGTGAAGTCGCTGACATTTTCTTGAAGCTTTCTTATAAGTCGTTCTGAAGCTGAGGTTAACTCACATCCCCATCCTTTCTACAGCCATCCCTCTGGTTGGAAAACAGATGAACAGGCATGACAACTCATGTCCTTAGAGTTGTTTTTCAGAAACCCAGCTGAGACCAACTTGCAGTTGGTTAAAACCAGCTCAGATCAGTTTTGGCCTGCGGATATGAGCATTGGGAGAAATGACATTAACGTATCCTCCTCTGCCTAAGCCCCAATCACTTGATGACAGGAAGTTGGTGTGACTCATCTAGTGCACAAGTGCACTGCATTAAAAATTGACTGTCACTTTAAACCCAGGTGAATGAAACTTTAGCCAATCCCCAGGCAATTCATCCCCAAATTCCCGGAATTTATATGAATGTATATAGTCCTCCTTCCTTGAATTTTTACAAAAACTGTATACCCCAACCCCCCTTCAGGGAGTCATATTTGGGTATGGCCCCTGTCTCCTTACCATGCTCATGGTAGTACATTGTCTTTCTCATCTCAAGTATTTCAGTGTGTGTGAACTCATTTGGCTTGATCACATACCAGGTGCACCAGGCAGGGACTCATTTTACTCCGGCTTCAATTCCACATTCCCTACTGTGATCATTGTTGTTGTTGTTGTTGTTGTTATGTGCCTTCGAGTTGGCACCGACTTAGTCATTAAGCTGCTCAATATTGTTTCTAGTTCTCTTACTGTCAATTCTTGCACCTCACATTTGGATGCTGCCAAGCATTGCGTTGCACTGGAGACAAGCTCATCTGTCAACAATCCTTCCCTTCCAGTTGTGCCAGGTGTGTGAGAAAGTGCCTGGATATCTGAGGATATTCCCTCTTTGATTAGCTTTACCATAGATCTCTGCATAAGATTCTAATTCATACTCATTCCCATCTTCCTTGTTAAGAATTTTAAGGACTTCTCCTTCCTGGCTTTGTTCCTCTGGGCTCTCCCCTGTATTCTCTTTTGGTGAGCCTCCTGTGCTCATGGTGGGGGTGCCCTCTCCTCTTCTTCCACATCTCCAGAATCTGCCATTTGAAATCCTCTTGCCATCTTTGACACCATGTGTCTGGTTGGTTTAACCTGGCAGAGTAGCTTCCCTCTGTCAAAGAGGAAAATCTTACAGTCTTTTAGTAGTTAAAGAAATGAGAGTTTTATTGTGAAATACACAGCTGGAGCTATACACAGCTGGAGCTGGGCAGCACTAAGTGAAAATACAAAGCATTCTGCTGTGTTCAAGAGGAGAGGGGGATTTATATACATAAAGAACAAAGGAAGGGTAGGAGGTTATTTCTTGACTACAGTTAACATCAGCTTCAGCATTGAGGTCCTTTTAAATGTAAAGGTCAGCCTTTTGGCTAGTAGGGAGTGAAGGTACTCCCTAGGTGAATGGCACCAGGCTGTTCAGTTACATGTGATTGGGGTCATAAACACATTCCTCACAGGAACAAACTGTTTACATCCTGACGCATTCTTCCCATGAACAAATGGTTTATATCCTGACCTTTTGCTTCCTGGAAATCTATGTTGACCCTGCCACTCTTATATCCTGGCGTGAGCCTCTCATTTCCATTTACACCTTTCACAGTCGTTCTGAAGACGTGAAAGGAGAGGAACAAGCCCGCAAAACCTCTTTTCAACTGTTTCAGACTATTTTGCTGAGATTTTTATTGTTCTGTTAAAAATTATCAGACTCACCCGATTTTGAATGTAAGGTTTATTCTGAGCATATATGTATATAGGGAGGACATCTTGATTCCAGAAAAAGCGAATGGCTCTTTAAAGCAAGTGGGGCTTATAAAGAGAAGAGAAGGAAGAAATTGGTTAATCCAGCATAATTGAATGAACCCTGCATTCCCCATTGTGAGATCAATTGATAGCAATTTACTTCTGGCCTAGTTGTTAATCATTTGGCCCTCCATCCACTTATAACCATGAGGCTTTTTCAGATTTAAATTAAGAGGTAATGATTTGACAACTCTTATTTTCTAGCAGGATAAGATAAATTTACTTTGCTATAGAGCAGTTTCTAGCAGGCCCCTTTCTGTGTTAATATTTGGTTTTGTAGTTCTAAGATATTTTTCTGTTTCGGAGATATGTTAAAAAGCTATGTAGTGAAATGTTGCTGTTGTCAATTAATAGATAACTTTATGCGATTTTGTGTTTCAGGGATCATGAATGAAGCAAGCAAACATGAAAAATGGATTAAGGCTGATGCCCCAAAAGGCACTGTATGTTTTAGAAGTCAGAGCTGGTTTCAGTCCCTGAAGCTACAGGACTAAGGATGGTTTGATTGTATTTATAAAATTTAAACAATGAAAAACAGCTCTACAAAAATGCAAATACCACTGTTCATATAAATGTTGAAAAAAATGGAAATGAATACTGGTGAATTATGTTGTGACAGCACATAACAACAACAACAGAGAAGAGTGCAGGTGCTTTGGTGGTGTAGTGGTGTGATGAATTGCTTGATGTGGCTCTTCTAGCCATTGTCTTCCATTTTCTGATGTATTGTAAATCCTATGATCCGTGCCTGTTTAGGGTGGTGTGGTAGTTAAGGTCGTGTGTCAACTTGGCTGAGCAGCTGGTAGTTATTCCTTATCATGACTGGCAGTCGGCTTCATGGTGGAATTTGCCATGAACAACTGAGTAGCTGCTTTTAAATTCCTGATTGTTAAAGCCATCCATTTGGGTTATTTCTGTTGGACCAACATAGGTGGAATATATCTTGAGTCCTGCCTTGCTGAAGGGTATAACTTAGATCACTGAAGGATAACCAGATGTGGGTCCCTACCCAGTGCACAATCAGGATAAACTAGTTTACACACCAAGTGATTAAGAAGAGAGAAAATTATTTATTGCAGAGTGGCAATGCAAGAAGACAGGGGCCAGTACCCAAATCTGATTCCTTGAATAAAGGTCAGGATACAGTTTTGTAAATTTCAGGTGAGGGGGCTTATACATATTCATAAAAACTTTAGGCATTTGGGCGTGAATTCACTTCAAATTGGCTGAGGCTTCCTTCACCTCGGTTTAAAGAGAGAGTCAGTTTTTAATGCAGTGTGCTTGTGCACTGGATGAGTCATAATGACTTCCTGTCACCAGCTGATCGGGGCTTGGGCAGAGGGGAGAATGTTAGTTCCCAACAACTTTGTTCCCCGTTTGCCTCACTGTGCATGTCCGAGAGCCAAAGTTGATTTCCAAGTTGTTTCCTGAAAAACACCTTTAAGGAAACACATTAACTTACCTATTCACTTGTTTCTAGGGAGATAACATGGAGAGGATGTGTGAATTGACCTTCAATTCCTTTCAGTTCTTAAGGAACTGAGTTATGTGTTTACTTATTTGCCTCCAACTGAGGTAACAGACAGGATGTGGACTGAGCTTTGTGTCTGCCTATCTGTCTTATCCGGGAGCTCTGGTAGCATAGTGCCTAAGGCACTTGACTGCTAACCAGAAGGCTGGCGGTTCAAACCCACCAGCCACTCCTCGGAAGGAAGGTTGGGCAAT